TGCATGAGGGCAAATAAACTGGAGCCCATTCCAGAAAAGATGGAGGTACTGTTGGTGGGTGGATGGGTTAGGAGGGCCCCAACTTGTCCTGGATGGGGTCACATTCTCCCCTAAAGGACAAGGTCTGTAGTTTGGGGGTGCTCCTGGACCCAGAACTATCTCTTGAGTCTCAGATAGACTCAGTGGCCAGGGTGCCTTCCTTTGGCTGATATACCAGCTTTGGCCCTACCTGGGCAGACAGAGCCTGGCCACAGTTACCCATGCCCTGGTAACATCCTGGTTGGACTATTGTAACTCTCTCTGTGTGGGGCTGCCTTTGAAGATGGTCAGGAAACGTCAACTGGTTCAAAACAGGGCTGCACAGTTGCTGATAATACCCATCCCACACACCCACATTGCACCAATTCTGTATTTCCTACATTGGCTACCAGTTGAGGTCTGAGCCCAATTTAAAGTGCTTGTTCTGACATATAAAGTCCTTAACAGCTTGGGACAGGGATACCTGAAGGACCAACTTTTTCCATATTTACCTGCCTGTTCTTTAAGATCTGAATCAGAGGCCTTTCTTAAAGAACCATCCCTCAAGGAAGAGAGGGAGTTGAGAGATAGAAGAAGGGCCTTCCCATTGGTTGTGCCACACCTTTGGAATGGGATCTCCAAAGAAGTTCACTGAGTGCCCTTATCAGCAGCACCTCAGTGCTTGGTGAAGACTGTCTTATTTTAACGATTAATAAATTGAATATCTTTATTTTATATTGTTTACCTTTTTATAGATTTTAATGGATTTGAAACTGCTATACTTATTCCTACTGTAATGTTGTTGTATTTTATGGATTTTTGGGAGGGTATTGCTAATTTTTAATATAATGTACACGTCCCAGAAAGCCCTGAATTGGTTGTGGTATATAATTTTAAAATGACTGAATGTTGCTTTGTGTTGTCCTTATGTTGGAAAGCCAGGCCATTGCATTTTCCCAATGCTGTTCATGCAGAATAATAAAAACCATTCTGAGTGGTGATGGAAGTATGGTATTATCAGGTGAGCAAGAGGTGCAAGTTAGTGGTTGTGTGAGTCTATGAAGACACATTCCTGAAGGGCAGGTATTATTGAACATGCAATATGGGATAGAAGACAGTTTGGGCAATGTCAGACTTCTACCCAGGAAAGAGTTGTCTAGTATGTATCTGTCAGGGAGGGTGGCAGAACAGCTTCTCTCTTGTGGCTTAAGTAGCCTGCAATCAATCCTGAAACATTTCATTGCCTTCCAAGCACATCCTAGGAGGTGGCGCTGTCTTGCTTCAAAGAGAGTGGCTGATCTGAAACAGTTGCTCACTAAACAACAGGGGAATTCCTCTGAAGTTGACCTTTCATGTAGGCAATGAATTCGGTGTGCTCTATGAAAGCTTATGCTGCAACAACACTGCAGTTATACACACAAATACGAGGGAGAACATCCTTCTATAGTCAGTGGTAGTTTTTCTTCCTGAAACTTTTAATTCGTAGGCAGTACTCCGTATCGACTTTTAATTTTGTTACAGATTGAAAGCTAAACACTATACAAGGAGCATTTTCCTTTCTGCTTTTCCACTATAGGATCACTAAGTGGCACTGTAGTAGATTAGTGCAAATACACAAGTAGAAATGGTACTTTCTTTTGCTTTTTCAATTAAGTCTGTTTTTTTCTCTGATCTTAAAGAAAGCCCACAAAAGTGCAGTTTAGACATAGAACTGAAATGGAGCATCATCTTGTTTTCTAATGTATCCATAAATATCCATAGGTACAGAATGGTGGTTGCACATCAAATGCCCCATGCAATACCCCCTTACTTGCAGGTAACATACCATGCTGCCAGATCATTCTTAGTACTTTGCAGATTTTCCTGGGATGGGCAGAATGTAGATTGGGATCTATTGGTAGATCTTCAGGTGAATTGTAGTAGATCAACATGGATTTTCATTTCTCAGTACTTTGACAATAGTGACAATAAAAAGTCTTGTGTCCTTAGTTGGATTGCTTAAAATTAGAAAGCCTGGGAGAGCATGGTCCCATTCTAATCATCTTCCTGGGCTGAGCATGTGCTCAGAGGCACTTTGTTCAGCAATTCTATCCATTTTTCCAAGCCACAGCCACAATAATTATAATTTATATTTTAGTAGGGTGGTGTAGAACAAATGTGGCCTTTTTGACATCGCAATCCAGATTTCTTGGGCTTCCCAGATGACCATGCCCCATTTCTCATAATGCATTTTATGACTTCCCATCTTTTCTGTGCTCCCCCTGCATTCTAAAATAGTTGAAATGGCTTGCAGGAGAATGCTGGAAGTTGTGTAGTTTTTCTTCTAGGAAACCTGCATTGGACAGAGAAATTGCACATTTTGCATTTTAGGCCTCTCTCTCTCAATTGCGCATGCACTCTCTCTCTGTCTCTCTCTCTCTCTCTGTGTATATATATATAAAAATGTCCCGATCTTGCCAATTTTTCTTAATAAGGCAAGTGCATTTAGATGCATGGTGGATGGCTCTGGGTATGTGAGAGATTTAAATATGCCCTACAGTGTCCAGTGTGAGTTGATCAGTGACAGCAGCATGGAAAATACAATCTGAAAGGACCATACAGTGCTAATTCCTGCAAATGATGGGTCACTTTTTTTTACCTAATGCATGAATCACTGCCAGGAAGAGTCTGACACCATCAACTGATAACCACATCCTCCATGTGGCTGTGTCCATGGCATTGCTCCATTGCACTGATGATGAACAAATGTACCTGCACAGTACTAGATGGGGGTGGGGAGGGGGGTTAAGAGAGCCTTTTCCTTCAAGGTTTTGAAAGCTGAGTAAGCTCTGGTATTCTGAATGGCACATAGGGATGATCCATGCTTTGACGATATGTATATTAAGTACTTTCCTAACAGGTTCTCTTTTTATCCTGACCTTTCATTTTACTGGTTTGTCATAAACAACCAGTAGTGCCATTACATATTGTCAATTTTAAAGCAGCTTGCAGTTTTCTCTTACTCTGGTGGTTGCTATTTATTGATTTACCTTTTCTGCAGGTGAAGATATAAACTTGTAGAGACTGACACGCATACTATTTTATAACGGCCCACACTGACTTCTTAAAAAATGATGGGTAACAAAACAAAAGAAACCAGAACCCATAAAAGCCAAATGATGGATTTCTTTTCATGGGAGGGCGGGAGTGGTATTTATAACCTCTGCAGTAGGAGGGTAGACATGGTAGGTTTTGTTGCTTTAGTTTTTATATCACAAAGCTCCAATCCACAGAGGAATGAAAATTCTCTATCCTGTGTTTCCCTGGGATATTCAGAAAAGCTCTGGGCAACCAAAGACTTGAAAGTTATTCTGACAAGGAGATATTACTGGTGGATGTTACTGTAGGAGTCAAACATTACTTTTCTGTAAAAATAATAAAGGCTGGGCTTTTGGGACGTGAGTATATTTTTACCTTTTGTCATTAATGAAATATGCAATACAGATGACTTGTGAAGATGTAACTTTAGAAGACTGTACATTTCATTCATGCTGATCACCTGTTGAGGTATAAAAATAGTTTGTTTGCCTGTTTGCTGAGAATAGCTCCTGATGCTTATCTTGAAACATTGCTTAAAAATGTATAAGAAATGACTACTCTATGTAACATAGATAAATTTGAAATAAATTAGATGCCAGTCTGGAAATGTGTAGTCAAATAAATTCATTTTTGACTAGAACTTACATGAAACTATAGTATGTGTTCAAATATAATTTTCATGGTACATTTAAACTTTTATTTGCTGATTCTCAAATGATTCTCAAATAGTGCAACTGAACCAAATCAGATTCAATAAACTAATGCAAACAGACATAATAGGGTGCATTTTTAAAAAGAATTTGTCTGGCGTTCATCACATTTCTATATTTAGATTGCATTATTTTTGCTTAATATGAAGTCATGTTGCTTAGAATTCTGCTTTTTTGCCCCCTCAAAGTCCTGTGGTTTTTAGAGTTAGTTTTTAATCAATACTTTATTGATTTTTTAAAATTGTAAACATAAAGATAATCCCTGTATCCTATCATCTTCTGTCCCCACGCTTTTACTTTCTGCTTCCTTCCCCACACTATTTAAGACAGAATATAAAAATAAATAGAATTAAATAACTAAACCGTGGTTTCTTTCTTGAAGTCAATCCATTTTGCATTTGCTTTCCCTTTTTGTCATCTGTCTTTGACTTTCCTTAGCATGATTGTCTTCTCCAGAGTGTTTTGCCTTCTCATGATGTGTCTGAAGTATGACAACCTCAGTTTTGTCACTTTTGTTTGTAAGGAAACCTCTGGCTTGACATTCCTTTAAAATAACTATGGATTCTCCTCTCTGAAATCAGATAAAGTTAGTTGTGATGAAGTCCCATCAAAATTGTGAGATTCAAGTTAGTTGTGACTGAATTGTTATGTTGGTTCCTGTGAGCTTAAGCTTCAATTACTTCTGAGCAAACTTGTGTAGGATGCAGTTATTCATCACAAATAACTTTAGTAGGATCAGGTCCTCTGTACATATAGCTAAGCACCACAATAGGGTTGATTACTTTAAAATATAGTATCAGATAATTCCAGTTAGTTCGAATTGTCTTTAGTCATCACTCAGTTTTAACTCTAGTTTGGTAGCATATAAAGAATTTGAGAATTTGATGCAAAATATTATTTTAGACTGTATTATAGTATCAAGAAGGTAGATATACCATAACCTTATATGCCTTTAAATTATTTTGTTCAGATTTTTGTTCAGATTTTGCACTTACATATTTTACTGTACTGTTGAGATAAAATTGTGCTATTTTTGATTTATTCACATATATAGGACAACCAAATATTTAGCCCATTCTGCAGTCTCTAACAAACACCAACATTCCTGAAGTCAATAGTTAATAATAGATGTGAGTCAGACATGCATGCATGTATACATCAATGCGTAAGTGATCTGGTTGCTGTACTTTTCAGGTGCCTCATCAAGGACTTTGAAAACCGACCATCTGTCACTCATCTGTTAGAACATCCCTTCATAAGACAGGCCCATGGTAAGGACATGGCACTCCAAAAACAGTTGGTGGATCTCATTCAAGCACAGCAACAGCTAGGCTCTGTGACCAAGACAAGGTACTGCACAATTTCTTATAAACTTTCCCAAGCAACCAAATTCCTGATATGCAGAGCTTTTACAGTATATAGATACAGAAAGATCTGAGCTACATTTGTCCAAGCAGAGCAAAATAGATCTGAGTGCAAAGCCAAAGCCGCATCATGGAAAGGCACGTCATGATCCACGTTCCCAGCTGCATGATGATGCTCATCCTGGCTGTGCTGAATTGACTGGGGATAAATGTGGGGATGCATTCCCCCCTCTGGATTTTTCCTGGACTGCTCTACTTATTTGGGGTCCTTCTGTACAATAACTACAATACAATACAATCCTTATGTACAATGATGTATAATAATTATTGGACCCCATATAAATGGAGAGCTTCAAGATGGTTGGAATAATTTTTTCATTCATGTCTCTCAAATGCAACCAACTGTAATGAAACTTGCACATTTTGGTAGATTTCCTGGATCTGCTGCCAATACCAGCAATTACCTGCAGGTGTTTATTAATCAGTAAATGAACTTTTACTAGGAATATGCTCATATTCTGGCATCTTTTTGGTAGAATATCCACTGGTTATTAATAAAGTGATAGTGGGAACGTAATAAAGGTACCACATTCATTGCTTGCAAGGCTGACTTCGATTGTTTTGTCCGTGGCTTAATATTGCCAACCCTTTTTTGTATAAAACTTAATACTTAATATTCACCAGGAGGGCTTTTTTTCCCAGTGCAGACTAGGGACTAACTGCAGGATTTTTCCCCCTTTGGTTCTGTGGCTGTCCAGAAGGTGGCAGGATTTCACTGTTTTCAAAGTGAATTTAAATGCAAATTAACTCACACCTCCTCTGCTCAGCAATCATTTTGTAATATGAAATTTGTCTAGTGCTAGATAAGCTGTAAACCATTATTGTAAATAAATACCTGCTAATGTTGATGAAGAAAATTAAATGTCATGATTCATAAGTCATAAAAATGTATGTGCATACCCAGACACGGTAAATGTGCTCTTTGCAAACCAAAAGCCTTAAAGTAAAACTTTAAAAACAAAATAATGCAATTTCAAGGTGAAGTTGACTTTCCTGATATCACTGCAAGTGGGATTATTCCGCTTATACTACTTAAAGCAAAAACCTACATTGGTCAGATGTGCTTCAGAGGGCTGGCCCTAGATGTATTTCTGTCTTTTCTTTTTCTTTCCCTGCTTAGACTTTTTGACAGCTGCTATTTGCATTTGTGCATGTGTGTTTAATCTTGCATACAGTGAGAGATGGAAATGTGAAAAAGCCAGGCTGCTGTCCCAATCATGTGTGAAAAACATAGCTGTGTCCATCCTCAGACACAAAAATAACACCCTTTGAATATACTTCTGTGATGTTTCTAAACAAGGCTTTACTGCACTATCACCACTGTTTCATTTAGGTAATTTTACTGTATGTGTGGGGTCTAAATAATGCTGTCTTCCACTCATCACTCCCGTGCTTTCTCAACCAATTGTTCCACCTTTGGCTTTCTGAAGCAAATCCATTAAGAAAGAAAAGATGAAATAGCTGCAGTTGTCTCCTGATTGGTATCACTAAGAGTGGTCTATATGGAACCAAATACACTTCTGATATTGGGCAATTGTATAATGCAAGCCCAGTTTGTTCAGTACAAAAGGCTGGGTCTTAGAAGCAGCAGAAGGAGAGGGCTGAGTCAATTAGGTAGGTTGTATCACTTCAGATTACAAGTGAGGGGAATATAATAAAAGAGGTTGTGTGTTTTGTCTGGCCATCAACAACAGAACACCAGGATCATGAAATTCCAGGCACCTGAAACTTGTCTTGCATACTAAGGGGGCCCTAGGATGTGCATCTTAGGGTTATCATGTGTGTGTATTAAATGCAGTAATTAATTTTAAATAATTCACATGTGTCTGCATGGGTGAAATCTGCATTAACTTCCTTCATAAGCAAGTAGCTTTGCACTATATACAATATGAATCCAGGGAGATGAGTAGGATGAGGGACAGGGTATATGGCTGTCCCCTCCCACCTGCTGGGGACAACCCCTCCTCAGGGAAATGCAGTGGATGGATCCTGCTGTCAGGGAGCTATAGTGGCACATCATGCATGAAATGCCACTGGGTATGGCTTTAGGCAGATGGGTTGGATGGAAGGTGTCCCCATGGTGACTTCTAGATAAGGTTGCTTGAAAGGAAGGACTCTTCCAACCTGGGGAAACTGGAAATGGTCAGTAGTAAAATAATGAAGCAGGGCTGTTGTTTTTTAAGCTATTGCCTGCAGGAATAGATGCCAGGCTTTATATTATTTCAATTAAATAACAATTTGTAACAAAACAGTTTGGTATAAGAGAACCTCTTGATGTCACCAAGGACCATACAGTTCTACAAATGGTGGGGACTTTTGCTGCTCTTTTTACCACAGAGTTTGTTTAAGAGGTGATCCTTAATTATAAATCTGGCTGATGAATCGAAGGGTAAAGATCAATTTCATTTCTGTGCAATGTGTCATTATGGGCCAGGCAGGTTCATTGCATATAGGCTCCCCTAAGCATATTTTGCAATTTAACACAGAGGTGGCTTGGCTTTAGATCAGGACCTAAAGCTACATGATCAGAAATGGCTACATGATCAGAAACCCCACAGGATGTACTTATGTCTGTTTCGGACTATACCGCTTCAGATTGTGGATGGAAAAGCTGCAGTGCTTCCCCTGTAAAGCAGCATGCCAGGAAGAAGGTCATGAGAGTGTGCTCTTAAATATATGGGTAGACTAGCACCTATGGTCCAGTAGGGTCCAGCAACACATACTTGATGCAATATAGCTGAGTATGTTTGAGTCAAACAGACCGATGCTGAGGCATGATGAATTGAAGTACATGAGAGCTGGCTGCACTGAGATTTCAGAGCATGCTGTAGCAATGTATTCCAGGGCTGCATTTGTCACAGGTGCATGCTTAGAGTGGCCACTTACGCACCGTTAGAAAATCCATCACCACAGAAGAGGACGTGGATTTGCCTCTATATGTGCAGGTGCACATTTAGAAATAATTACTATAATTTAAATACAACTACACTGATGTTGCCACAGTGACCAAGTAAACTGTGTGCCTACTCTGCCTGCTGTCCAGGGGCTAACTCTTGACCGGCTCTTCTTTCTTATAGCTATTGATGTTTCAAATGGATGTGGATTGGAGAAGCCTTCAGAATGATGAGACTTGTCCTCCCAGAGCCCAGCAAATATAGGACTGTCCTTCGTAAAGTAGAACATATGTCCACCCTACTCATGTCATGTCACTGATACATGGACACAGTCACATGTGCAAAATAAGCAACATGTGATAGTACCTGTGTGTGAACATTTCCCTTCTTCTACCTTGCTGGAATCATTTTTGGGATACTGGTGTCCAAGTGGTTAAAGCTCCCATGAAAGAAGGTCCACATGTCTTTGGACAATATTATGTAGTCTTTTGAATGGTTTTCTACTTTAGAAAATAGACTATCTGTATCCAAGCCCATGATCACAAATGTGTACACACAGATTTACATGTGGCAGCCATTTGACAAATTATATAGCATTCTTCCCTTAACAACTGTCTGACTAGTAATCATGCATGGAGGGGCTTTTGAGGGAAGAAGTTTCTTTAAGCCATTGTATTCTTGATAGGAAGAGAGATCCATCTGATGAAGGATCATATTGTCCCAAAGAAAAGCTTTGCTCCATACTTTGCTGTTGCTCCACACTCTGCTATTGATTTTATAAGATATTGTTTAACAGTGGCATAAATTCAATATTTGTTCTCCAATGTGTGATATCCTCTTGGTATTGATAAGAACAGCAGTGTTAGTGACTGAAGTGCACTTCCAATCTTATCTACCCCTAAAGAATTATATGGACTGAGGGATGAGAAACAATGACATTGTGTCAAAGAGGTTCCAGTGAATCCGTGGCCAAGATAGGACTGAAACAGATGGCCCTCCAGTTATTTTGGCCTACAGTTCCCATGATCCCTTACTGTTAGCTTTATAGGCTATAAGGACTGATAGAAGCTGTAGGTCTTGTGGAGGACCATACGTTTTCCAACTCTTTTCGAGAGCAATGACTAACACTACTCACTGGTGCTTGTTGGCTTCCTAGGCTGCCTTTTTTAGAACAGCTGTTTTAGAGCAGCAATCTGTCACTAGTGGGGAGGTCTTAAAACTAGAGCCACTTCTTCTGCCAGTTCCAATTCCAGTTTGAAAGCAATTAGCTGCAAGAAACTAGCTTGTGCCCAGCTTGTGATTTCCTCTATACACTGTGCTAGGACATGCAGATAACACCAGGCAAAGCCAAGAATAGCTCTTGGGTCGTAAAATGATGGGTGTGCAGAATTAAATTTAGTTTTAAAATGCCATTTCTTCCAGACATTGTCTGGGTGAATACCAGGGGAAAAATAGCAAATCTGAAAACCTACTGTGGGCAAGAAAGCTACCATTTTGCAACCTGATTACATTGTAAATGCTAATGATTACATGGATTCTTTTTACAGTCATAGCTGTGTGATGTTGCAATTAAGGTTGTGCCAGTGTTGTCATTATGATGCTTGTGAAACGTCCTCAAAGCAGAGGTCTCCCTGGCATCATGATCATACTGGACGAAATAGTTAGCATCTGAGTTGTATCAGAAGTTTGATATTGCTGTTGCTGCAATGGAAGCCACCACCAAGTCTCTTCTGTTCCCACTGTGCTGAAGATTTTCCTTCTTAAATGTGGCAGTGCCATCACTGCTGCCTCCCTCCATCCCCATGACAAGAAAGGGAGAAATATGGGTCAGATTCTTTCTACAACTCTTTTAACTGGAAGGCATTCTCTGTCAACTTTCAGGGGAAAAAAGAACAATGTGGCATTTGGTGGGTGGGATGGGTTGTGTGATGCAAAAATTAGAAAGGCTGACAAAATGTTCTGTGTGTGGATTTTTTGAAGATGTAGTATGGTGACACTCTGATTATCATAAACATGGAGAGCCCTGGTCCAT